GGTGGGGATAGAACCCAGGATCTTTTGCTCAGCAGTAGTGCTTGCTAAACTAATGTGGCAGTTTAAATTTCTAGTCTCGCCTAAGTACTTGTAAGTCAGTCAATAAATATTAAATTAATAATATTTTAAGTTTATAAAATTTTATTAAAGCCAAATACAGATTTAACAAGAATTATTATTTTTACCAGTAATTTAAGTCGAGTAACTTTAAAAAAGTTAACTTATTCAACCGCTCAGGATTTAAACGACTCCTTTCGTCAGTAGCAATATTTCCCGCAACAGAAAAAAGCCTTGCACATGGAACAGATGTTCCAACTATGCAAAAGTATTTGTTGGCAATTGGCGTTATTGAGCTATATAATAGGAGCCGTCGTTTTAAAGTCGACGACAGGCTGTGTTTAATAATTTTTCAGTTCGGCTTGTAAACTTTGTCCTCCGGTTTCTGCTTGAATTAATTGTAGCTGATTTTTTACTAATATGTTATGGAATACCCAAATGTCAGATTCCTGCAGCCGGCATTCCAAATTATTATCTGGATCTTCATTATTACGTAAGTTATTCTCCAATTGTTTTTTATGAAGCTACAATCATACTATTAATTTCATCAATAGCTCTGAAGCATGCTATTCTGTCAGAAATATGAATTTTCCTGTTTCTTGGATCCAGTAGTGTGGTGATAGCTAACACATGTACTTGTTCCACTGTACCCAATCTCTTTTTTATTTCTTCCAATATTAAATTATTGGTTGCAGCACCGACATCTGTTTCTGTCATTCATTTCATTGTACCTACTATATGTTTTCAAAAGACAGGAAACTATTGGTATAATTTTGCTTGACTTTTGGTCAACGGGAAAAACATTATTGTAGCTTGTCTTGCTGTGGTGATTAATAAGATCTCTGCTACCAATGTGGTCAATGAAGAAATCTCTGAAGCCTGTTTGGTGGTTATTGTAATTTCTATGATTTCGTCTATGCAGGGTACGTGTGACATAGCCCTTTTCACAGCTGTTTTGACCCTTTTAATCAACATTGTTATCGTTCCCGAATTGTCAAGTGCCTCTTGTACTGCCAAATTTAGCGTGTGAGCATAACAGCCGAAATGTTTCCATCCCAAATCCTTTTCAACAGCTTTTTAAATGTTCGCACCATTATCAGTCACTGCTAAAATAATTTTTTGAGTCACTTTCCACTCATCAGTGACTCGCAACATTTCAGACGCTAAATTGACACCTGTGTGTGAGTCCTCGAGAAGTACAAATTATAATAAAAGTGATTTCATGGTACATTCTTTAGTGTCAATATAGTGCCCAGTTATGGCCATGTATGAATCGTTGACACTTGACGTCCATACATCAGATGTGATACAAATTGATTCGACTTCGTTTTCTACTTCGTTCATTTTTAATACGCGTAAACTTTCGTAACGGCTGGGTAGCAAATTATTAGAAAAATATTTTCTACTTGGAATTACATAGAAAGGGAACGCGCCGACTGAATTAAGGCTATGGCCTTTGTCAATGAAATGATTCCAAGCGATACTACTTTAGGGCCATTTTTACTGATTTATTTATACTAAGAAAACACAACACAACACAATAACATTAGGTATAGATTTAAAAAAAAATACAAATTCGCGCGAGACTGAACTGAGGTCTCGGTCACGGTACTCAAACAGTGAAATACTATTCAAAATCTGCGTAAACTTTCAACTTTTACCTAAAATAAAAGCCACAAAACATATGCAAACAGAAGATCAGTTCATCTAAATTAACAAGAAACTTATCTTATTACGTGAAATACCGGCACTTACAGTATGTCTAACTAGTATTAAATAAAACTAGAACAATTTAATCATAATTAGGCTGAAGTCTCGAGATGTATTTACGAGTGTATAGTTAAATCCCTGAATGCAACTGTTGTACGAGAATTTGGTCTTCTTTCTGGTTTATGTTGTGTGCCACGCTCTCCCACGCAAATCTGATAAACATATGGCACTTGGATGGATGGAAAGAAGGATCAAAGTGAGCAAGAAAGAAGGATCAATAAGGTATCCATTGTATAGCGCTGTCTCGCTTTCTACGGCTCTAGATGTGTAGCGGGATGGTGAGATACGTTGCAACGTGTAAGTGAGTGAGATAGCAGGAACAGGTAGGAGCGTATGCTGAACATTCGATTTTATGCTTTAAGAATACGAACATCAGGTGGAACAGGTGGATTATACACATTGACAAAATGGGATTAGGTGCAGCCTAATCTCGTAAAATACCTAATCGGCGGATCTGTTCTAATAACATAAATACGACACATCTCTACAGTCAACTTTCTAATAAAATTGGAGTTATAACAGTTGACGGATGATGACTTGTTATTAATCCTCAAAAATGTAATGCTAATTTATTAATATTTAATTTGTATTTAATTAATATAAAAAAAAAATATCGCCCTACGTTCATGAGTCACATGTGACTCAAAAAAAAAAACCGAAAAAAAATATATTAACAATAATTTACGAAAATTATTTTATATGATTTATAATAATGTTAATTAGATTAACAATTTAAAAAAACCGTTGGACGTGGGGCATTATCAAAATGTGTTGTATGAGGACAGGGAAGTTGTTACAATTGATTATAACTGTTGTGTTGATTGCCTGTCAGGCAAATGACTAACACTGCATGAAGCCGTTTAGCCATGGGAGGCGAAAGCTTCTCACTTCAAACTGTCTGCCACGTTTTAGAGACTCTTCTTCTTCTTCTTCTTTAGTTTCAGAAACATCTTTCAAATCTGTGTTTGTGTTTTTGAGTATCAAGAAACTCCATTTTAATCTTACGTAACTTAAATATTGTATAGATAGATAGGTTAATCCTCGAGTTGGTTGGTTTCTGGAATCGATATTTCTGGCTCAATTTCATTCATAGTTCTGGCAATATTGTGTAACACAGCAGTGGCTATAATAACGGGTTGCATATTTTCTAATTTTAGCCTCATTCTCAAGGATAATATGGGGAATCTTCTTTTCCAAACTCCAATGCATCTGCAATTACAGTAGATATTAATAAATTGTGTATTTAAACCATGTACACTGCATCTATTATTTACTAAAAAAAAACCTCTATAGTATTTCTTGTTTTAATGTGTGATTCATTATAAGATTGCTCTGATGGAGTATTTGGGTTGAGTAGAGGTGTTAATAGATAGGGCGTGCACGGATAGCCACTATCACCAAGCAGCCAGCGATTTCCAAGGCTACCTTGTACACAATAATAAAAATAATAATAATAATGAGTCTAATAATAAGCAATAGGAACAATGTACTTACCATTTATAGAATAAACAACTAACTAAATAAGTATTAATATATGGGTGCCATCTATGACACCATGTACTCTGGAAAATCTAGCAATATTATAAAACTCTTGTTGAGTGTGATTTTGTAACATAACAAAGTTTGAGTAAAATCTTGCTATGGCTCTGGATACATCAGAGACAATACGGCTAGCGGATGCTATAGATGCTCCGATCCGATAGATAATCTGCAACAGACACTAGCATAGTACCCAATGCATAGAATCGTAGAGCCAAAAGTAACTGATGGAGGGTAGATATGCCGTGATTTCTGGAAAAAAATAAGAACTTTGTTAAAACCTGATGATGAACCTGATGACATCATTCACGCTCCATACAAAAATTACCCAAAAAGAAAAAGTGCCGGCCAACGAAAAAAAATGGTTTTATCGGTTAGGTTAGAGAGACATTCTAAGATTTTTTTCTTTAGACGGCTAAGAGCTAAGACCGATTACTTATGAGTTATATGACTTATAAAGAACAGTAAAAAAATGCATTTATACGAGTTCGTCTGAACAATTTTTACTTCATAACTATAGCAAAAATCAAATAATGATGATAAAGAATAACTTAACCTCGCTTAATTATAATATATTATGTGATTTCTCTTATTAGTTCAGGGAACCCAAGAGATAATGCTTTGTCATCTATATATTCAATGAGATCAAATTTTGGATCAACAGGGAAAATTTGTTCAAATTCTACATTTTTTAGGAGATTTCTTTTATAATTTCTAGCTTTCAAAGGAAATCGGAGCTTTTTATCATAATGGACTCTGATTGGATGCAATTTAGGGAGTTTACTTATCTTCAATTTGGGCCATTCTTTATGTCGATTGATATATCTTATAATAAAATCCTCATTGATTTTATTATTAATTGACTCACTATGATGATTCATGTAGAATCTTCCAGTAGTCCCTAACGCTTTTAAGGCAATTGTTCCTAATAAGGGATCTAAAGTGGGATGTCCCCATATTCTGTAGAGTCCATAAAGCTGAGTGAATGCATTTAAATTTCTAACAAATACATCAGTGAGAATCCTTTCTCTTTGTTGTGTCTGGGATACATAACAAAAAGCCTAATTATATGTATACAATCATCATTAGGTACCTAAGTACCTACGTAGGTATTTATGTGTAGGTATTAGTGTTATAAAATATATGTAAAGAAAAAGACTTCATTTCGTTACCTACGTGGCTTTATTAATATGTTATAATTCCGCAGGTCTTACGATAACATTTTCTAAACCTAATGCAGGTGGATTTATGGCAGGTTGTTGGTGCTTCGCGAACGTCATGTACCACACTATGCACATAGTGTGGGAACAGTAGCCCACCGTTCTTTTGCCAACACTGCATGAGCAATAATAATACGGTATGGCATCACGGCCTCTCAATGATGTGTCGATGCCAATGTAAACATAATATACTCTGGCCCGAACATGCCGAGATTGTACTTGTTAGAAATCTACTCGACACAAGGGCAAGGGCAAGTGATACGACCACCGGTTCGCTATGCACTGGTTTATTCTCGAAACAATACAACGGCCGGCGGCGGCACCGCGGCGTGCGCGGGGAAGGGCGCGCTAACATACATATTTAACATTCCTCCGATTATTACAGTATTTAACTACTTCAATAACACAAAATACCTAAAAGTTACTTTTATAACAAACTTTTGGACGTTTCCGTAATGACCTCCTTGGTACTTGTATCGGACTCGACGGTGAACTTTGTATCGGAGTCTCACTCTGTGCCACAGGTACCCTTTCCAATTCTGTTGGCTCATCCGCAGAGTTATCTTCTCTCTCTAAAGTGACTCCTGCCGAATTCCTGAGACAAGCTTGCTGCTCTCCTGCTGTATTAAGAGGATCCTCTACATCCTCCTCTTCCCTAGGTGGTGATGTCATCGTACTCGTATTAGGTTCGTCAAGTTCGATTGTCCTTGTAGGTGAATTGCGCCCACCCACATTTGGTGACGATGAAGGCAGAATAGGCACCCTTGAACTTCTAATCGTAGTCTGCAACGGTGACGGAGAGGGTATATGTGGGTTTACAGCTGGACTTTGCGTTCTATACTGAGGATAACTTTGAGGATGGTCATTATACCCTTTATAAGGCACCAGCTGATTTATGTGTCTTTTACAATTTTCTAGGGTGTTCAAATCTTTAACTAAATATACAACTCTTCCTAATCTGGCAAGTATCGTTCCCTTACCCCAAGTATATTTAGCTTTCGTAATAAACCTTTTATATAGCACTGTATCATTTTTACGAAAACACTTTGATTTCTTTTTCCCTTGTTCCTCAGTTTGCGAGTACTGTTGATTACAACCGAAATTTGTTACAGTCGGTGACAAGGCTGCTGATGACTTTGCATCGATCAAATCTAAACGTGACCTTAATTTGTGCTCAAATACTACTTGAGCAGGGGACAACCCCGTGGTAGAATGAACCGAGTTACGGTAATCCATTAGATATTTTAACAATGAAATAGATATCTTGGTTGGATTATTACCTGACAACAAACATATTTTTATTCCCTTTTTTACCACCTTTACAAAACTCTCTGCCTGGCCGTTACTTGCCGGGTGATACACGGGTGATGTCAAGTGACAAATCCCATTGGAAGTGCAAAATGATTGAAACTCTCGCGAACAAAACGCTGTGCCATTATCACTTACTATAGTCTCTGGGATACCAAACCTTGACATAAAATCATACAACTTCCCCACCACCGCAGTGGAAGAAGTAGCAGTATTCATATAGTAAGTGGGTCGAAGTATACAATACTTCGACCCACTTACTATATGCGTCTACTATAACTAAATATACAGAACCCCCAATCGGTCCCAAGAAATCTACATGTATTCTGTTAAATGGACGCTTAGGTAGTTTCCAATGAGCTAAGGGGGCGCGTGGGGGTGAAGGCCGTAGTTGTATACATGTATCGCACGACCCGATCATTGTTTCTATAGCTTGATCGATGCCTGGAAACCATAATCTTGATCGAGCTTCAGCTTTAGTTTTGACAATACCTAAGTGTGAAGAATGCAATTCTTCTAAAACAATTTTGTATAGGTTCTTGGGTATTACGATTTTATGACCTCTCATTACGCAACCATTCTCATATGATAATTGAGATCTACACAAGTGATAAGGTTTTAACCGTATGTCATAAACTTTTGGTGGCCATCCCTTCAAAATAAAATTAATTACTAATTTTAAAACGTCGTCATCACGCGTCTCCTTACGTAACCTATCTATTGTCACGGGCATACCACCATCCGCAAGAAAACAAACATATGTGGCCCGATCATACGATACCTCGCAGTCGCAACACTGGCACTGTTCGGTGCACGCGCACTCATGAACAGTGCTCGGTAGACTTGCGCGCGACAGATAATCGGCACCATTATTATTACTACGCACATACTCTATCGTATAGTTATAACTACTAAGGAACAACGCATACCGTTGAAGCCTATTTGCTGACATTTCTGGTATTCCCTTATAGGGCCCAAAAATTGATAGTAGTGGTTTGTGATCCGTTCTTAAAATAAACGGTTCACACCTACCATATAAAAATTGATGAAACCGACGCACCCCGTAGATAATAGCCGTTGCTTCCCTTTGAATCTGAGCATATCGCTTCTCCGCGGAGTTCAGCGTTCGCGACACAAATGAAAGGGGCTTTTCAATGCCGTCTAGCCCCACCTGTGAAAGGACTGCCCCCAAACCGCTTGGGGAAGCATCTACGGTTAATATTATTTTTGCCTTAGGATCGAAATGTGCGAGAACCTGATTGGACGTCATTAACTTTTTAATTGACTTAAAAGCCGAATCGTGAATATGATTCCAGTTCCATTTAGTACCTTTTCTCAGGAGTTTGTAAAGCGGACTAAGTATAGAAGATGCGTTTGATACAAAACTTCTATAATAATTAATTAAACCTAAAAATGACAGCATGCAGCTGCCTAACGTTTGTGGGAGTAGGCGCTTCTACCATAGCCTTAATTTTCTCAGGTGCTTTTTTCAGCCCATCTTTTGTAATAATATAACCTAGGTAACTGACTTCGTCCTGAAAGAAGGTACATTTTTCTTTTTGTAGTGTTAAGCCTGCGTTCTGCAACCGTTCTAAAACCGCATTGAGTCGTTTTAAATGTTCCTGTCAATTTTTCCTGTAACTAAAATGTCATCTAACAAGCACAGGACTCCATCAACCCCCGACAGTACGTTTTCGATAGCGCTCTGAAAAATAGAAGGCGCGCTGGCTAACCCAAACACCAACCTTGTAAACCTATATAACCCGCGGTTCGTATTAATACATGTCAGGTTTCTCGACTCTTCCTCTAAAACAAACTGATTGTAAGCCATAGATAAGTCGAGCTTACCAAATTGTTCACCCCCATGAATCTTTACAAATAATTCGTTGGTTGTGGGGAGCGGGTATTGTTCTACTAACAATTGTTTATTTATACTTATGGAATAATCTGCACATAATCTGAAGGTCCCGTTTCGTTTTAAGACAGGCACTATTGGGGATGCGTATTCCGAATATTCAATAGGTTCTAAAATACCCAACTTCTCTAATCTAATAATTTCTTTATCAACCTTATCGCGCAAAGCAAAAGCTACCGGTCGTGCCTTACAGAAAACCGGTTTAGCACCTTCTTTTAACGCTAATTTTATTTTATATTTGTTAAAAGTCCCTAACTTATCTGAAAACAGTTCTGAGAATTTTAGTTGTAGGTCCTTGATAGTTAATTTATTGGAGTCCGTACAGTAATTAATAGGCAACAGCTGTAAAGTAAAAAGCGACATGAAATCCCTGCCCAGAAGTGGCGGGCCCCCGTCGCGTACTACGTAAAACACAATCTGACGTTCGTGCCCGGCGTACTGTATCGGTAAACGAAGCGTACCTATACATACTCGTACTATTCTACCTCCATTGATTGATAATGGCACAGCGTTTTGTTCGCGAGAGTTTCAATCATTTTGCAATAATTATTATGTTTTCTCCCAATTCTCTGACGTGTTCTGTTAAAAGTCTGTCGCCAAGCTCGACCGTAAAAACACCATTTGGATTGATGTGCTCGCCGTAATAGCTTTTAGCTTGATAAATACCCAAACTAAATAATATTAAATCCTCTTCTGAGAGCCTTGGAAAATCATCGAACTCTGGCATATCGGCGAACATCGGCTGAAATTGTGCTCGTCTTCTATTATAATTATGCCTTACAACTATATCAGCCAGCGTGTTAGGGATTGATATTCTATGGTTTATTATGGCCAAAATGGAATGGGCATGAATATTGTCACTTATTAGTATATGGTATGCATTAATTATAGCAGCCGCTATCTTAAAACAATCAAACATGTGAGGAAGAGCACGATTTATATTGACATGTCTCAAAAATCTAAAATCCCGTTTGAAACGCCCATTAACTACCTCACCGACAAATAGTTACAAGGCGAGTTTTATTTGCTTGCATCGTTGTCAGCTGGGTTTCATTTCAGACCTTGGCTGTGTGTGTGCAGAATGTGTGTGAATGAATACAAGGCGAGTTGTATTTGCTTGCATCGTTGTCAGCTGGGTTTCATTTCAGACCTTGGCTGTGAATGTGCAGAATATCCCAGTGACTCCATTGGTGATATGGCATCTCTGAAGCCGCGATCCAAAATAAATACATCACCTTGTCTAAAAAACCAATTAAAAACACCATCGCCGTTGTCAGTTTCATTAGTAGTAATGTCGTTTATAACTTGGGCATCGGATGTGGTAGCAGCATGAGGTCCAGATACGTCAATAATATGTCCATCACAACAGACTATCGAGAAAGGTTTTAATAAGTTGCGGAATTTATGCAGGCAACTTTCTCTGAAAAAAGTAATTACTACTTTTTGCAGATATATATATGTACCATCACAAGTTGCGATTGCCTTTCGTTCAGATAGAGGGCTATCGGGATTTCCAAAAAGTGCTTCTGGTAATGTAAGGTTTCTCTGTGCTACATCCTCTCGCGTTAGATGGTCAAATCCTAGGTGCAGCGGCACAAAATCCATCAATGCCACACGGCCAGTTTTTAACATACGCGCAAAAGTGGATTCACTTGTTCTAAATATCGATGCTAATTGAGCGTTAGAATCTCCAGTTCTGAGTTTCACTAGTACTGCTGCTAATATATATTTTTTGTTTTTATTATTATCTAGACAGGTTGTTATAGACAGCAAGTCAGCAAACTAAGCATGTGTAAGACCTGTCCAAGTATGGAACTCATTATCATTTATAACTTCGTAGTGTTCAAAGTTTAAAACTGTTGTAGTCACATGAGCTTTTAATATAGATAAGGCTCGAAATATATGGTTCGCTGTAAATGCGGCAATATTATTTTGTTGTACAGCAAGCAGATGTAAGCAACAAACAAGCAAGCAGCAAACACACTATTCGCAAAACAAATAAGTAGCCGTCCGATGTAACTAAAGTCGCATGGATAACTAAACTGCTTAACTTACAAGAATGGTCCTAAACAAATAGAACTTAGCAGGTAACAATAACGAGAGAGAAAGAGACAAGCTACTGATAACGATAACCGGAGGGAAAGAGACAGAGTACACGGCCGATCCCATTGGCCGATGCTTTCGATACAGGTTGTAACATGCTCATTTCGATGGTCTTGCGTTGTTTAGGTTTTTAATTATTGAGAAATAGTTAATTGATACATAAATGTAAATGCTTTTTTTATGATTTCGGATCCATTTTGGGTCTAAAAGTTGGTCGTAGACTATTGTTATAATAATAAAAAATGTTTAAAAGATCATTTGCCGTTTTTACTTCCCGGCACTTTAATTTTTGGGTACATTTTGAATGATGACTTTTAGTAAATTAGTAGATTTTACAACTTTCATC